AATTCATCATAGAGAACTACTCCTACAACTGCTCAAAGATGTAAGTGTAAAATGATGTTTGCAAGAATCTGTGTTACGGGGAAAACTGGAAAGGCCCCAAATGTGCACTAACAGGCAATTGGTTAAGAAAAGTTTGGTTCGGCCATGGAATATAATCCCATGGAGCCGTTAAAAAGAAGATTAAAAGGAAGATCATTTTTTACAGACTGGCATGGAAATATGCGTAAGACATGTTGCTAGGTGGAAAATAGCACACTTCGAAGTTGAGAATATAATCCCATTTTTGTAAAATAATAAATAAATTTTAATATATGCCTTGAAAAAATGTTAACTGGTTTTCTCAGCTGTGTGGGATTATGAAAGATTTTCACTTTCTGTGCTATATATTATAATGTTTCAAGTTATTTATGGATATATACTATATACATGCTGTTACTTCTGTAATCAGAAAAAAAATAGATGATGCTGTGACTTGGCCCCTCGAGAGCCCTGTTAAGAAAGTGTAGAAGCCTACTCCAAATCCGTCAACTTGAGTAGAAAACAAAACTTAGCCAATGTGGAGCAGTGATGCCACTTAACCAAAAGGAGGACCACGCATGGAAATTCTTCTGGCCTTTAGAGTCCGTAAGCCGTTGTAATAGTTAGCCCACAATGGAGTATTCTTTCCACTAGGAGCTAAGGAGAATACATTTAAACGGCAGCCAGTTTTTGAACCACTGCTCTAGTTGAGAGGACAGCTGAGGACCAGAGACACAAACCAAGGGGTCTCATCGTCAACAGTGACTTGCCAGGGGAGCAGGGTATCCATAAAAGATGAATAGGAGTTTGTGTTTAATTTTCACACTCTTTTCAAGGTAAGATTTGGTGCAGTTTACAGGGGCAGATCCCCATTTGGTGGGGCGGGAGGGGGTGGGATTCCATAGCTTATGCAATTAAGGGGACTCAACCAAAAGAATGCCAAATTACAAATACAAAATGAGGTATAGGGCTTTGGAAGGGGTCCCTGAGAAAGAGGGCCCTTAAGCCATCCTTTGCTAGTTTCTCAGCAATCTGGTCTGCACTGACTTAGCGTTCTTAAGCCAAGATAACACGGAGGGTAACACGCACGCTTCCTTTTAAGAATTATCCTGCCAGAGGAGCATTTCCATCTTATACCTGGTGAAAGCTAGAGGTAGCACCCTGAGCCCCGGGAGACTGTACGATCTATGTTTGGGGGGATACTTGAGTTTCTGTGGCTGGAGGAGCTCTATTTGTTGACTATGGCAGATGCCCAGTTCTTGATGCTCATAAAACTACGGCAGTCAGAGACGGAAAGATGGATTAGGTCATCAATCTAGCTTCGGGTCCAAGGCAGGATGGTTCCCTATTGTAGTTGTTCCAAGCCTTCGTCCTGGCAGTTTGGAAATATCTCGGGGGCCAAACTCTTCGAAGGCTGTTCCTCTCCTCTGGTTCCTGGGCAGATGTTGAGGTGTTTAGATGGGGAAAAAAGAGCATTTTAGAGCCACACAACTACTTAATTATATCCACTCACCTAGATTCCTATCAATGTTTTCCACATGAAGAAAACAATTTAGTGTAAAGAAACTCTTGTATCTCTGGCATAAAGCTGCCATCAGGGAACAAATCACTGATTTTTTCCGGTTCCTTGTATTTCAGCTTTGGTGGTGAGTGAGTTTCTTTTTTTGCTTTAGGAGAAAAGCAAACTTGCTTGAGTTCTCCATAGCCAGCGTTATCAAGAATGAGTACTATTTAAATGCTGCTTTTGTTCATGGGAACAAAGTAGCTTTCTAAACACTTATTTTGAGTCTGTTTACCTCTGTCTTTGGTGAACTTTATGTGTTCTCAATTTTTATTTTAGGCTTCTAGGGGGCTACAAAAATGGGGATTCTGAAAGCTAAGTTTTGATTTTCCCATGTTTTCTTGCAAGTCCAAATAGATAACGGCTCTAATCTCCCCCAAAATTTTGGTGGCTACCTTTTTAAAAAAAATTTATATTATTGAAGTATAGTTGATTCACAATGTGTTAATTTCTGCTGTACAGCAAAGTGATTCAGTTATACATACATTCTTTTTTCATATTCTTTTCCAATATAGTTCCCTGTGCTATATAGGAAGATCTTGTTGTTTAGCTATATATGATAGTTTGCATCTGCTATTCCCAAACTCCCAGTCCATCCCTCTCTGTTGGTGGCTACTTTTTTTTTTTTTTTTTTTGGCTGCGTTGGGTCTTCATTGCTGTCCGCAGGCTTTCTCTAGTTGCGGTGAGCGGGGGCTACTCTTCGTTGTGGTGCGCGGGCTTCTCATTGCGGTGGCTTCCCTTGTTGTGGAGCACGGGCTCTAGGCGTGTGGGCTTCAGTAGTTGCAGCACACGGGCTCAGTAGTTGTGGCGCACGGGCTTAGTTGCTCCGCGGCATGTGGGATCTTCCCAGACCAGGGGTCGAATCTGTGTCCCCTGCATTGGCAGGTGGATTCTTAACCACTGTGCCACCAGGGAAGTCCAGGTGGCTACTTTTTTGTACAGGAGGAGTACTGTTCTAGACTAAGAGAGTAGGCTTGAACATTGACCGATGAATGTATGATATATGTCCTCAGTAAAATCTTTTACTCCCTATGCTTCACATACGTGTGTGTGTGTGCCTGCATGTGTGTGTGTGTGTGTGTGTGTGCAGTCTGCTTGCTTGTTCTTTATGTGTTTGATGGTTTATGTGGGTTTTTTCACTTGAAAATACTCCAATTCTCTTTTTTGGTAAGTAATGCTGCTGGCAAGTATAAAATACTCAGAATAATGTAATATTTGGATATTTGCATTTGAAAGTTCATCTCCTTTTTAAATCAAGACAAGTGGGCATTCGTTTATTGATGCTAGTGACATCAGTATTAGAACTTTTAGCAACAAACAACGCCCAGCAACGTTTTTTTCTTAGAATTCCTAAAGATGGGTTCCCAGTTAATCAGCTATCAAGAAACTATCTGTTAATGCTATCTGAGTTAAACTTAGCCGAGTTTAATTAAATTTTAAAAGTTGACTGGGAATTCATCCAAAATGTGCTCATCAAAAAACAAAGGTACTTGAAAATAGAGGTAAGAGATAGGATTATGAGGGACAGAATTAATTTTAAACCTCCTGAACTGGAAAAATGGTTAGAGACAGAAATGCTAAAGATAAAAAGATTTTCTCTTTACTTTAAAAATAGTTCAATACAGTATGTCTGTCCTTAGGATTTTCTGAGGCATGCTCCTTTCGAAATGTGCTTGTCCACACTAACAAATTACTAAGGGGAATGGAAAATGAAAATTGCTGAAAGGTACAAAATTACCAAAGGTACAATAGTATTGAAAATCACTATATTTTCCCAACCCAAAAATTCCGAGAGATTTTTTTATTCACAGAGATCTGTGAATGTACTTAAATGTAATCTCATAAACAAGTTAAAATATTTCAGTTGTGCATTAAACAAATTCTCTTTAGGAAAAATAGTGAAATTACATGAATTTAGCACTGTCTGGAAAAATATGGACTGTGTAATGAAAAGTTAATCCTGCTGGCAACCTCATTAATGTGGGCTACACACAGCTCCTTACGGGCAAATAAATTGTAAGCTCTTAGATGGCTATCTGTCCTGAATGGAATGTTTTAGACATGGTTGGCTCAGTAATTGTGGAACAAGTGAACACGATTGAATTCAGGTAGATCTCAGATTGTTCACTGTTTGATATATATATTTTAAATTTTCTTTGTTAGTTATGCTTGATTTAAATAGTAACTAATGAAATGATAGCAGTTGTTTGTATTTACAACCCTATCTGTGGTCTGAAAATTAACATGGCTTTATTGGATAAGAACTTGGTTTAGAAAGAAAAGAAATTAATTTGTTCAAAGAATTTAAAAAATTCAGTGGTAGAACAGATCTAGCTTCTCAAATGACATTTTCTGGACTCTCTCTCTCTTTCTCTTTTTCTGTCTCTACATCCCAACTTTACCACTTTCTGTGCTGTTTTCCTTGTTTGGCAAATAAATATGGTGGCAAAGATGGAACCACATAGCCACCCCTGGTAGAAGCAGAGTGTTTTGTTTACAATAGAAGCTGACCTCCCATTGTCCTAGCATGAGTCACATGCCCATCCCTGAGCCATGTATAATGCTGCGGCGTGTACATTAGTTTCCTATGGCTGCCGTAACAAATTACCACAAACTGGGTGGCTTAAAATAAGAGGAATTTACTTCCTCTTTTCTGGAGGTCAGTAATCCAAAATCAAGATGTCAGCAGGGCTATTCTCCCTCCAGAGATTCTAGGGGAGATTCTGTTTCTTATCCCTTCCAGCTTCTGGTAGCTCCAGACAATCCTTGGCTTGTGGCCGCTTCACTCAGATCTCTGCCTCTGTGGTCATATTGCCTCCGTCTCTTATCTGTGTGTCTCCTTTGTGTATTTGTGTTTAATCTCCCTCTGCCTTGATCTCATACGGACACACGTGATTGTATGCATGGCCCCCTGGGATAATCCAGGATGATCTCATCTCAAGATCCTTAATTTAATTTCACCTGCAAAGATCCTTTTTTGAAATAAGATCATATTCACAAGTTCCAGGGATTAGAGTACAGACATTTATCTTTTGCGGGGGACACCATTCAAGCCACTACAGCTGGTAAATGTTTAACAATCTCCTTGACAAAAAAGGGGGACCCCTCATATATAATATTTGCCTAACCTCCATGGTTTAAATACTGCCACCATGTCCAATTTCAAGTTATCAACAGGAAGTCACTGAACTTGGAGTTGGGATAAGATGCACAGTCGCGGACCATTATATAGTACTTCCACCATCCAGACCCAATAGATGTCAGTAGCCTCAAGAGCACAGATAAGAGTATAATGTATTCAAATAATTAGAAAGTGATGAGTTTTGAGTGCCTATTAACTTTGTTTTAAATATAATTTATTTAATTATAAATATATATACTTTAAATTTTAATGGTGATAACGTTTAACAACTGGCTCACAAAATTCCTGAAAATTTACTGGTTGGTTCAGATGAGCTGGTATGAGCCAGCTCCAATACCACTGGGTAGAATTTGCTAATTGATCAGGTCGGAGTCATACAGCCTAAGGCACAGGGGCAGCAACATGCCAACCACACGGACTGAAAATGAGGTGGGTGGGTCCTTAAGAGAAAATCGGGGTGCTATTAGTTAGGAAAGGGAAAGGAATATGGAAAAGACAAAAACAACAAAGCCACTTCCGTATCATCATTCAAACAGGTATTAATGATTTCAGGCTAAGGAGAAAAATGTTCAGCAAAGTCCAAAACATTTACTGGTACAACTGTTGTGGCTACACATGGTTTTGCAAATCAGTCTCTCTACCTAGGAGAAAAATCACTGTTTCCACATTCTCATTTTACTTAGTTCATACGATCTGTTTTTAAGCCTAGACACATTTATCCCAAGGTGAGCAACTTCAGAAAAATACATAAACCAATGGTCGTTTTTAGAGTATCATTAAAAAAAGATTAACAGCTTTATTGAGACATAATTTGCACACCATGCAATTGACCCATTTAAAGTGCAAAATCCAATGGTTTCGGTACATTCACAGAGTTGTTCAACCTTCACCACAATTATTTTTAGAACGTTTTCATCACCCGCCAAAAGAAACTCTGACCCACTCAACTGTCATCTTCCAATGTCTCCACCCTGACCTATAGCCCTTGGTGACCAATAGTCTACTTTTTGTCTTTATAGATATACCTAGCCTAGGAACTTCATATAAATGGAATCATACAATAGGTGTTCCCTTGTGGCTGGCTTCTTTCACTTAGCATAATGTTTTAAGGTTCATCCATGTTGTAGCATGTGTCAATATTTCATTCCTTTTTATTGTCAAATAGTAATCCATTGTAGGGATATACCACATGTTGTTTATCCACTCATTAGTTGGTGGCCAGGCGGCCATTTGAACTGTTTCTCCTTTTCAGCTATTATGAATAATGTTGCTATGACATTTGTGGACAAGCTTTTATATGGACATAATTTTCATTTCTCTTAACCCAGTGGTCTTTTAAGTTAAAATTTTTAACGAGGTTTCTTATTTTCCACATGCTCGTTCTCCTTCCCTACCGTTTAGGAATGGAAATAGAAATGCCACATACAGAATTCCAGTTCTGTTAAATTTGGGGTCACTACCCCAACCCCTTAAGAATCCTGGGACTGGCTCAGCCCAAAGAAGGAGTCTGCTCACCAGCTCTAGGGCGGGGGAGGGCGCTGTTTGTCAGGAGAACATAGGAGCTGACTTGGGGCCCACAGATCACTGAGCAGGTGTGATTGAATTTCTTGTCACACCAAGGCCTGGCCTTGCCCACAACAGGCTCATAATAACTAGTACTTCACAGTGCTGTTCAGGCAGTCTCCATATGCAAAGTATAAAGAGTAATAAAAATTAAACCTTACTCTCTGGCCTGGAAATCAGAGTCATGGGGTTTGGGAAACTTGCAGAAAAGAGAGGGGGAATTTTTAGCTTCTCTGATAAAGACCAGTAGAGAGCTTCATTTTCTCCCTTGCATGATGGGAAGTGATCTATCTTCCAAGTGTCGTGCAGACCTGGGATGAAAAAAAAAAAAAAAAAAAAAAGCTCTATATTAATTTATACAGCAACTTTCTTCCAAGAAATTCAGAGGGTCTCAAACAGTCTTTCACTCATTCCCCTGAGGGAGTTTGCATAAATGTGCATAAGAAATTACTTTTTTTAAAATGTACACTCTCCAGTTAGCCAGTACCAGGCAGAAATAGAACTAGAAAAGTAGACCTCCTGACCAAACATTCCGCTATAATATTTTCAGTGAGCTTCTATAAATCAATACAGAGCCTTAAAAACAGGATCTCTCCATAATATCCCCGGGACTCTGCTCACTGATGACTGATGTTCCTTTCACCAGGGGCAAAATTTTCCCTTCCAGATGAGAGTCAACCGACATGGCATGCACCGTGACCCTCAAGAATCTCATTCATTTACAGTGGAGCGCTCAGGCCCACCTTGAAACAGGCAGTCCAGATTTCCCTCTCGCAACTCAGCACTCCTAACCCAGCCCAAATGAAAACCTCTCCAGAATTTCGGGACTGGCTCAGCCCAAAGGAGAAAGAATCCTGCTCCCCTGCTGTAGGCAGAAAACTGGGATCTAGCCAGTCCCTCTCAGTTTGTCACTTGCTGTGTCTCCATGTTGCTTATACAGTGGGCTGTACTGCCCCTCAGAGTCCTACTGGTCATACTGGGGAACATACTCAGTTCCAGTTTCCCAAAGCCCAACTCAGTGCCCAGGTGGATGGCTCTGGGAGAGCTTCCGGCATCAGGCATATGCAGGGCCCAACCCAGCTCTCCATCCCAAACCAAACACTTAATTCCTCGTGTTGGGCCTTTTCTCAACATATATTTTTTTTAAATTTTTATTGGCATATAGTTGACTTACAATGTTGTATTAGTTTCAGGTGTACAGCAAAGAGAATCAGTTATACATATACATATAGCCACTCTTTTTTTTTTTTTTAAGATTCTTTTCCCATACAGGCCACTACATAGTATCGAGTAGAGTTCCCTGTGCTATACATATATATACATATATCTATTTTATATATAGTAGTGTGTATATGTCAATCCCAGTCTCCCAATTTATCCCTCCCCTTTTTTCAGCATATTCTTTTTTTTTTTAAGAAGATGTTGGGGGTAGGAGTTTATTAATTAATTAATTAATTTTTGCTGTGTTGGGTCTTCGTTTCTTTGCGAGGGCTTTCTCTAGTTGTGGCAAGTGGGGGCCACTCTTCATCACGGTGCGCGGGCCTCTCACTATCGCAGCCTCTCTTGTTGTGGAGCACAGGCTCCACACGCGCAGGCTCAGTAGTTGTGGCTCACGGGCCTAGTTGCTCCGTGGCATGTGGGATCCTCCCAGACCAGGACTCGAACCCGTGTCCCCTGCATTAGCAGGCAGATTCTCAACCACTGCACCACGAGGGAAGCCCCAGCATATTCTTATTGTGACGTTATTACCCATCCCTGAAAACAAGTTTCTTTTCTTTTTTTTGGTTAGGGTTACACTAGCTCATGTAGAATCTCACACCTGGGGAATATCTGTGCCTTTCTTCCAACCCCCAGAAAGCCTCTGGGCTCTACAGATTTCTTCCCAGGGATTCTGGGAGAATGGGAAATCGTAATCCATTTAGCAAAAGAAAGTTCATACACGTGTCCCATGCTGCATCCAGCCTCAGACACATTTTGTTTCATACTCTTAGCCTTATTTAAACTTTATTTAACCTTAAACTTTATTCAAACTTCATGTTAGGACTGGCTCCATAGTTTGTGGGGTCCAGTGAAACGTGAAAATACAGGCCCCTTGTTCAAAGTTTAAGAATTTCACATTAAACCAAGCACCAAGGCCCTTCCTAGTACCAGGTCCTGTGTGACTGCACAGGTTGCATGTCTGTGAAGCCACCAGCCCTGCTGCCAAGAGTTAAAAAGCAAAAGACTCCTAACCTCTCTTGAAAACTAGAAAAATTTGGTAACTCTATGTTTGCATCCCTAAATGGAGCATAGAATTGGCTGGTGCCAAGTTGCCGTTTGTCTTAGTTCACTAGGGCTACCATAACGAAGTACCATAGACTGAGTGACTTAAATGACAGAAATTTATCTTCTCACAGTTCTGGAGGCTAGACGGCTCAGATCAAGGTGTCAGCAGGGTTGCTTTTTCTACGGCCTCGGTCTCGAGCTTGCCTTCTCACTGATGGCCACCTTCTCCCTGTGTCTTCACAGGCTCTTCCTCTGTACCTGCCTGTGTCCTAATCTCCTCTTCTTATAAGGACAGCAGTCACATTGGATGGGAGCCCACCCCACTGACCTCCTGTTACCTGAATAACATCTTTAAAGGTCCTCTCTCCAAATAGAGTCACACTCTGAGGTACTAGGGGTTGGGGCTTCATCGTATGAATTTTGGAGGGGACACAACACAATTCAGCCCAGTACACAGCTGCTCACTTCAGAGCGGGCACAGTGCTCCAAGTCACAGCACTAGCCTGGTCCTCAGCAGCTGCCATCCGCCACGTTGCATGGGCTGTTCTTTTTCCTCCTGCTTCCCCTCTCAGAGAGATGGACCTGTCTCCTCCGGGGTAGCGTATGGCATGGTGACACTGTTTACCATGGGACAGTGGCTGCACACTCTCTCTACCTCGGCAAAACTAAGATTGCTACTCGGGCTTCCCTGGTGGCGCAGTGGTTGAGAGTCCGCCTGCCGATGCAGGGGACACGGGTTGGTGCCCCGGTCTGGGAAGATCCCACATGCCGTGGAGCGCTGGGCCCGTGAGCCATGGCCGCTGAGCCTGCGCGTCCGGAGCCTGTGCTCCGCAGCGGGAGAGACCACAGCAGTGAGAGGCCCACGTACAGAAGAAAAAAAAAAAAAAAAAAGATTGCTACTCAAGTGATCCTTTGCAGCACTATAATCAGTTTCTTAAAAACGAAAACGAAAATGTACCCATTCTATAGCGATAAGACTTCAAGTGCAGAGCAGAAATTGCCGTGGGGTATAACTGGCTACTCGGACTCGATCTGCAGGTTTCAAGCGAGGGAGCTTTCAGCGATCCTACTTAAAATCACCTGACCATCTAAGGGATGGCCCCAAATTTCAATGGAAACCCAACTATACAGCTCCTTGGCGGCAGCATACTCCCAAATTGGTATTTGTACCTATTTGCAGAAATGTTAGCCAGATTATAGCTGAAAATTCTGCTAATTCTGGGGAGGTTTTTGGTCTTGTGCCTGGAACTATTGAAACATACATTCACACCTACCACATGTAACACTTAGCAGCATAATTTCCAGCACAACACTTTCCTACTTTATTTTTAAAAGAAATAGAGCAGAGACTAAAGATCTGCGCTCACCCTGCTGCTTTTTGCAAGAGGCTCCACAAAAGGTGGAGGGGATGGCTTTTGTGTGAAAAGAGGATTATTTTGCATTTTTAAAAGGAAAGGAGCCACAAAAATCTTTGCTCAGAACCAGGGAACGTATGATGCCGAAACATGTAACATTTGCACCTGTGTGTCAACAGAAAAAAGTCATGTCAACTGTGCAAGGCTCTGGGAAAAGAGTAATGATTATCTCATAAATCCCAGTACTGGAGCTTGGAAGAGACCTTCAAAGCATCTTACTGTATCCCCGTTTGTGTTAAGACTAGGAAAAGGAGGTTCTTAAATTTTTAAAGACTCTCTCCAGACCAGCACTCCACCTAAAACGCAGGTCTTTTCTCCCAGCCAGGGCAGTTCCCACCCTACCAGGCTACTTCCAAACAGGCATTGTCCTGTCGGCCTAAACTGCATACCACAATCACAAAACCCTCTCTCTTTATACCAGCGTCTCTATTTAGGCTGCAGAGTTGAGAAAGCAAAGGCTATTTCAACTTCAACTCCCTTAGCAAACAGAAGAAAAGGCATCTGACCCGCCGACTTTTCCAGCTGGTCCCTGGGTCTGGCCGCCCGGTCTCTGCCGTAGCGTGCGGGCGCCGGCTGCCTGTGTGCCACCAGGGGGCGCAGCATCCTTTGTCCTGACACCGGCGTTGAAGGCAAGCTCTGCAGCCCGGCTAGGCCTCCAGGAAGATCTGCCTTGCCCTCCTTTCACGGTTTCTTTCTGGAACCCATCCACTACCCAGCTCCCTTCATTCACTTTAAAACCGTTTTCTTCTTCTTGCCTGACGCTCAGTCTCCCTCCGTCCCATCTCATATCTGTGCGTGTCACCGGGCTCTGGGCATGTTTGTAGACAGGCTTTTCAGAGACACCAGACCCCCCTCCCCAGCAGCTCTTCCTCTGCAAAGCTTAGGAGACCATGGCCGCAGCTTATCATTTGCTCTCACTTGGAGGCCCCTCAATTGAGGATATTTCTAAAGATTCTTCCAGAATGAAGGGGCCTCAATGACAGGACTAGCTCCCTGGAGAAACGATCACATCCGTCCTTTAATACCCCTCCCTTCCACTCAAAAAATAACAACAAACAAATGAAATGACTGGTTCTGGGAAGCTCATGCCCACCAGTATTCACCCTCACCACCGCTCCGGCCCCTAAACAGTCTCAGATCAGCCTTGGGAGGTAGACATCTACCCAAAGGGACCGGCTTAAGCATCCTTTCAGCCACACCTCTTACACCCCACTGTGCAACCCAGGCAAGGTAACTGCCTCCTTCTGCCCTCACCAGCTTGGCTGTATCTGTTCTCCAGCAGAAAGAAATCCACTCAGATTCCAAAGACTCAGTGTTGCCATCTTTCAGGGATAAATGAACAGCCCCTTCTTCTCTAAGACATACTTCTAGCGCTGCCCCACAGGCACAACTCACAAAATGCCAACCCTCAAATCTCCCAAACATATCCTTTTTGCAAAGAACCCTAAAAATCCACTGTTCTGAACGAATAGCGCACAGGGTCCTATACAGGCCTTTGAAAGGCAGCTGTTCTATTTACGTGGAGAGATTTCAAGTTTACGGGGTCCTTTCCCTGCCTCTCATTCTAGCTTCGGAACAACCCGCAGAGACAGGCAGGGAAATCTCAAGCCTAAGAGGTTTGCACCAGTCCT